TCATAAAGAGAACTCCAAAATTAACATGGCATGATTTAACAAGCTTTTAGGCCGGTCCACTGGACTAGTCCAGCATGTTAATACGGGACCGGTTTACAGGAATAGGCAGACAATTCTCCGCCGACTGTACGCAGGAGCCGACTGCCCACTCTTCACAGAGCCAATTTGGAAGGATTTCTTAGGGAGTTAGGAGGGAAATTTGAATGTAGAGACTATTTAGAGATTTCCTTTTTGATTGTATGCATTAAAGTTTGTTTTCCTAGGGTTAGGGCATCTTGAATTTGATTGAAATTTGAGATATCTTAGATTTAGGTTTTTCTTTTGGGCTCTAGCGGCGTCTAGAGATTTGGGAGAGATAGATCCTCCTCTCGAATAGAGGATCAATTGGATCTTGCTATTTTCTGTTTCCCTTTCATCAAATAATACAAATTATCTACAATTTTTGTGGAGAAATCTCACTGTTTTTCGAAGATTAATAGGAAATACTTGAGATCTACAAGTGTTTCCTATCAATTTGGTATCAGAGCAATTTCTTGCTCTGAAATAGAAGTCTTCATCTCTGATTTCTGCTGTGTTTTCCCCTCTGATCTTGTTGTTTTTGCTGTTTGGGAGGCCAGATTCGCATCGAGCTTGTTGATCTTTGCTATTGGAGCCTAAATCTAGGTTCGCATGGCTGGAAGAAAGGTAGAAGTATTGGAATGGGAGATTAGACAAATGAAATATGAGATTTCATATCTCCAAACTCAAGTTTCATATATAAAAAAGATATCTCCACCATCCATGATAAGTTTGATATGAAATTTTTCATCTTGGAGGAGATGTTGAAGAAAGTGTTTGAGGGTCAAACCAAAATATTGCCGTTGGAGGTGAGGGAAGGCGCAGACAACCAAGGAAGTGGGGAATACTCTAAGCCGATCAGACGAATGGAAGATCAAGAGGTGGAGATTTTGGAGGGAATAAAAAAAATGCCTCCCCTAAGGCTTCCTTGGAAGGAGTCGGGTGAAGGGTACGTGGAGAAGAGTGAGGGGTGGGACATGAGTAGAGGGGTGTTGAATTTGAAAGGTGAGGACTTGATCTTGATCGAAGAGGTGTCGAATTTAAAAGGAGAGGGGTTGAATATGATCGAAGGAGTGCTGAATTTGAAGGGAGAAGGTGGGCTTGTGGTGAAAGGTTTTGGTGCGACCGTGCGAGCGAAGGAGAGATGATTGGCACGATTTGGGGGAATCACCCTCGTGGGGAATGGGAAATTTTAGAGGAAGCAGAGTCGACAAAGGAGATCTGAGAGTGAGGAAACTGAAGATGCCTATTTTTGAGGGAGAAGATTCACATGGGTGGATCTACATGATGAAAAGATACTTTACTTTCAACAGGCTGACGGAGGAAGAGAGGCCGACGGCAGTTGGCCTATGTTTGGAAGGGAAGGCTATGACTTGGTACTAGTGGAGGGACATGCGACGACCCATACGGAGTTGGAGGGAGTTCAAGGATTGTTTAGTAGAATGTTTCAGAACTGGCAGGGAGGAGACTTCTACGAGCAGTTCTTCACCTTGACATAGGATGATTCAATGATGGAATATCATGAGAGATTTGAGCACCTTGCTAATTGATTAGACCACCTTCCTGAGACAGCGCTAGAGGAAAATTTCATGAAGGGACTGATACTAGAGATTCGAGCAGTAATTAGAGTGATGAGACCTTGTGAATTGGGAGAGGCCATGGAGCTAGCTCAGTTGGTGGAGGATCAGAGGCACCTGAAGAAAGAGATGGGAGGCAGCAGCTCAGGAGGCTCGTACAAGATGACCACCACATTATTGGCATCTAAGAAGCCAACAACAACAACAACAACAACAACATCAAGCCTTTATCCCACTACGTGGGGTCGGCTACATGAATCCTTTTTCTCCATTGTGTCCTATTAAAAGTCAAATTCTCGTTTAAATCTAATAAAGAAAGGTCATTCCTAATATTTTCTAACCAAGTCTTTTTAGGTCTACCCCTACCTTTCTTAACATAAGTCAAATCTAATACCTCTACTCTCCTAACCGGGTCATCGCAAGGCCGCCGTTTTATGTGACCAAACCATCTAAGGCGACTTTCTCTAATCTTATCTTCTACTGGAGCTACTCCAACCTTTTCACGTATATGCTCATTTCGTATCCTATCTCTAAGGGTAAAGCCACTCATCCACCTGAGCATCCTCATCTCTGCCACACTTAACTTAGTATTATGCTTCTCTTTTAAAGGCCAACATTCGGCACCATAAAGCATTGCAGGCCTCACTACCATCTTATAGAATTTTCCCTTAAGTTTGAGGGGTACATTTCTATCACATAACAAGCCCGATGCATTCCTCCACTTCAACCATCCAACTTGAATTCTGCTGATAATATCCCCATCTATTTCACCATCACTCTGAACAATAGATCCAAGATATCTAAAACGTGTACTCTTATTAATGACTTGATCGCCCAAAGTCACAATCCCCTCACTAGGTCTATTACTACTAAAATTGCACTCCATATATTCCGTTTTAGATCTACTCAAGCGAAAACCTTTAGACTCTAAAGTTGACCTCCATAATTCAAGTTTACCTTCAACTCCCTCTCTAGTCTTATCAACAAGAAGAATATCATCAGCAAAAAGCATACACCAAGGTACATCCTCTTGCAAATGTCTAGTGAGAACATCCATGACTAAAGCAAAAAGATATGGGCTTAAGGCTGATCCTTGATGTAACCCAACCGAAATAGGGAAATACTTGGTCAATCCACCTTGTGTTTGAACACAAGTAATAGCTCCTGCATACATATCTTTAATGATTTGAATATAAGCATTATTGACTCCTTTCTTTTCAAGAACTCTCCATAGCACTTCTCTTGGAACTTTATCATATGCTTTTTCTAAATCAATAAATATCATATGTAGATCCTCCTTATTTTCTCTATATTTCTCCATCAAACTTCTTAATAAATGTATGGCTTCCATAGTCGACCTACCCGGCATGAATCCAAATTGATTTTGAGAAACATTAGTATCACTCCATAATCCATCTAAGAAGCCAACATCAGAAATTTTTTGGGGGACTTCAAAGGAAAAGACTACAGGAGGATGACTTAGGGACAGCATCAAGAAGCTCACAGAAATGGAATTACAAGAGAAGAGGACGAAGGGGATCTGTTTTAGATGTGATGAGAAGTGTACTCCGGGGCACAGGAGTAGCCAACTGCCCATTCTTCACAGAGCCAATTTGGAAGAATTTCTTAGGGAGTTAGGAGGAAAATTTGAATGCAGGGACTATATAGAGATTTCCTTTTTGATTGTATGCATTAAATAGTTTGTTTTCCTAGGGTTAGGGCATCTTAAATTTGGCTGAAATTTTAGCTCTTAGGTTTAGGTTTTCTTTTGGGCTTTAGCGGCGTCTAGAGATTTGGGAGAGAGATCCTCCTCTCGAATAGAGGATCAATTGTATCTTTCTATTTTCCATTTTCCTTTCATCAAATAATACAAATTATCTACTGTTTTCGTGAATTTGTGTGGAGAAATCTCGTTGTTTTCCGAAGATGTTTCCTTGTAGATCTCAAGTATTTCCTATCACAAGCCTACACCATAGGAGAGGAGAGAGGATTTTATTCACTTAAAAATAGAAGACAAAAATAATATTGTACAAAAAGAAAGACACTCACTAGCACTTCCCAAAATACACCCTCCTTCCATTAAAAAAATAAAGGCCCAATCTCTTAGAATAAATCAGAGAAAATAATTCAAAGGAGACGATGAAAAAAAAAAAAAACATTAAATTAAGACGAGAGATGCAAACTTTAAAAGTTCCACAAAAGTGTACATTTACATCTCTCTATGAATTTGACTCGAATTTTGTCCTAATTGTACTTTTGGTCATTGAGAAGGTACTTCGTCATCCTTCTCTTTCTTTCACCATCCCTCTCTACTTCTCCCTCTTCACTTAAAAACCAAGTCTCAACCACTTCGTATACTCTCCATTTGTCCAACTCTTCCCACGCCAAGCTTCCAACCTCATCCACATGGAAATCCTTTAGATATGCTTATTTATAGGACTGAAAAGGAGGTGATTTTAAACTCATTCCATTATCTACTTTTAACTTTTAAGTTTTCCAGAAATTATATAAAAATTTTAAATTAGATTTTATCCTTCAAAATAAATAATTTGTTATTATCCCAACAAACGTCTTGACTAACTTATTGAGTTATAATCTACTTTTAAATTTGCAAGGCTGTAGTCTAATGCACTATTTATTTGCGCGAACTTAAAGCCCTACTTGTTAGACAACCTTTTTAGGAGCAGTTGGTAGCTCTACTTGAGGTACTATAAGTCTGTAAACAAGAGTTTACTTCATTCACTATTGCTAGTAGGGCATAAGGTACCACAAATTTGTCGAAGGGATGGTGCAATTAACTTCTTGTTTGTAGTGGGATAAGTAAAGGTAAGCAAATGGGTGATAAAACAGTTACAAAAGTCGAGTTGAATATCAGAAATGATAATATTAAGATGAACATGTGACAAAATTAATTGGATAGATTTAGAATCAAAAGGATTGTAGAAGTGTAGCATCTTTGAAAATAAGTTAATGGAAAATAAATTTAATTGATTTCTGCATGTACAAAAGAGGGTGAAAATACACAAATAAAATGGTTGAATAAATTTTATGCAAAAGGACTAGGGGAAAAAGAGGTATACCAAAAATAATATAGATAAAACTTGTGTGCAAAAAGATTTGCATGATATAAATTTAACACCTTAAATAACATTAAATGTCAGTAAGTGGAGAATGAGGTTCACATAGCCAATTTCAATTAGTTTGGATAAGGCTAAGTAAACGGTCCATTTTCTATTGTTATGGATAAACAGTTTATCTGCATAGCTATACACCTAGATTTAGTCCAAACTAGTCTTAAACAGGTTCAACTATTTATTTTTCTACTCTAGCATCAATTTTGAAAAAGTTCTTGCTTTCTCTTTGCAGTTCTGAGGCTATCCAATTGACCCTTTCGTATATCTCTGAATAGCTATGCAATATGTTAGACCTCTTCATATGGAGGAATCCAGCGTAGCTCAGAAATATACTTTTGGTGATCAGAACACAAGTGACGTTACAGTTCTCCTAAAGAACTGGGAAGACAGGCAAGAAGTTTTATATTGTCACTCAACCATTTTGGTAAAAAAAAGCAAGTTCTTTGCAGAGCAGCTTTCCAATGATCATGCTACAAGAACAAAAAATGATTCTGCAATCTGCATTCAAGTTCCTTGCCAGGGTTCTCAGTATGACCACTATGTTAAGCTTTTGAAACTCCTATATGTCTCTGATGATTTAGTTCTGGAATCTTGGGATTCTGTGAGGACTGCTCTTGGTGTTCTCCAAGCTTCTCTTACTCTTCACTGTAACTCCATCATTGAGAGCTGCGTACAGTACCTGGAAGCTGTGCCATGGGATGAAAAGGAGGAGGAAGAGTTACTAAAGGTTGTTCCCACACTTGGCCCTGTAGCTACTCCCATCCTGGCCCGAATCCAGCCTGTTGATTTGAATGCTACGAAGAATATTTTCATCTCTGCCATACACTTCGCAACATCTATTGAAAGATCTTTTCCTCCATTCACCGAAGAACTAAAAACTTCTGCCCAGGAGCAAGTGGAATACATGCTACTGGAAGATGAAGACACTCCTTTGGTAACAGTGGATGAGGATGTGATATCTGAGGCGAGGACTGGCCTCGGCAACATATTCGCAACATTTGAGACTGAGCTGAGTGCAAGCCCATTGGACTTCGAGCAGTCACCAGAGGCAGCAGAACAGAGAGTTTTGCAAAGCCTCTCAGACTTAGAGTGGATGTGCGGGGTTCTTTCCAAGATGGAAATGTTAAAGGATTTTGTCACAGGTTGGGCTGAAATCTCTGATAAAATATTGGCTGTAGTTCAAGACGAGAAGTACAGCTTGGGCTTTTGGGCAGTCAAGGTAAAGGTGATTGAGGTTGTTAGCAAAGCCCTTGATGCAATTGGATATGGCAGTGTGGTGCTTCCAGCTCCATCCAGGGTTCATTTCCTCACAACATGGCTTCCTTATTTGAGAAAGATGAAGCCTTTATTAGATTTGAAGAGTGATAGTGATGAATCCTTTGCATATAAGTTGGATGTTGATCTGTGCCAAAATATTGAGGGTGCAATTATATCTCTAATTCTGGCACTACCATCTGATGACCAGGCGGATATATTTGGAGATTGGTTGCAGAGGACTGAACGGCTAAAATTTCCTGACTTGAGCGAGGCATTTGAGGTATGGTGTTATCGAACCAAAACTGCAAAGAGAAGGCTATTGGTAGGCTTGAATGGAGTGGGAAATTCCACTGTGAGCCTCTTATGAAGTGTGCTCAATCATAATTTGGCTAAAATTTTAGTAGCTACTTAATCTGATCACCCTATATTGTGATGAAGATAGATTAATATTATTGTCTCAAAAACAACGATTTTAACTTTGAAGATGGTTTTTGTTCATTTGGAAATCTATTGTAGTGCAATCATTTTTCTTTTTGTATGAGAACTGGAGATATTGATCATAATCGAGCTTGCTGTTTGCAATTATTTTGTCTGTCTTTTAGGTTCTTTGATAATTGTGATGCTCGCCATTGCCAGGTTTACTGTAATGCCGGTTTTCCTCATTTTTTCCCGTACAAATCAAGTGTAACAATTTTGTATTTGACAATGCAGATACCTGTATTGAAAGATTTTGTATTTCTTAATGGGGGTAGAAAAGCAGGAAGAAGCAAAACATTTAGGGGCTGTTTGATTCTAGATAACAGTTTTTTCTAGGTAGAAATGATATTTAAATGGCATTGTAATATATCAGTTGTAATTTATTTGGTTTAGTGTAGGCTTCGTTTGGGACGGCTTTCTTGCTACTTCTAAAATCAGTTTTTTTAGTAAAAAATTAAAAATTTTGTACTAAAAAGCAGTTTTAAGAAGCAGTAAGAAAGTCGTTCCAAATAAAATCTTCATCTTATTGAAAAACTACACTGCTTTCTAAGATTAATTTTGTTTGGTGTGATATTATCTGTAGGGAAATCTCACTGGCGGCAATTTCCAGAAACAAAATCCAGTTCATGTTTGTCCAGAAAAATTACTACAGCTTTATTGCCTTACCATACAACTGGTATCAAAAGCTACATCTTCTCAAACCATAGTGAAGTACAAAATAAACCACAAAACAAATTTTATTGTTGCATTTCTAAATGAATTGTCTACCTGTGTGAATTCATGAATGAAAATTGTACTTGTTTTTTTAGGAGTATATAAGGTAAAGGAAGCGCCATGTGTATGCTTAGCTTAGTTGATAAAAGTTTAATGGAAAATCTTGAATTTCTAGAAGCCTATCAAAGCGTAGCTCGAGGTGGCCTCCTTTATTGCTTTCTTGAGCATAGATATGAGGAGAAATTATTCTGTGTGGAAATCGGATGCAGAACGTCATCCCGAGACCAATCAGAATGCGCCACGTCAATGGTACCGAGCAATACCAAGCCGCGGTACCAAGCGAAAGGGTGGCGTGACGCATTCTAGTTGGTCTTCGAATCGCGTTTAGCATCCACACAAAATAATTAATCTGATCTGAGACACCGCAGTTTCTTCTTTGGCTCCTTGGATAGTTTCTTTAAGTGACATCGATTTCATTCACTCGCCATTCTTTTCGAAAGAGTAAAAGTCATCAAGCTTTTTTATTTTGTTTACTGCCAATATAAAAATGAACTAACAACATTCCTTGACAAAAGAAAGCTTACAAGGATATGCTGTTAGGCGTAAACCATTTATTGGACCAAATGTTCTCACAACTTCCTTCATTGATGATGACTTTGCAAACCTTCCTATGAATAGTATATATGCCATATGTTTCTTCCCCTTCCTCTAATTGTGGTAATATTTCTTCAGTGAAAGAGATTTTCTTCTATTGACATGGTTGGAATCTATGTAACCAAACCTATCTCATTTGAAACGTTTGTTCTTTGGAAGGTTTGATGAGGAGCTGCTGCTGTTCCTAATGCTGTCATGATAGGGCCTCTCGATTATTGCAGTTTGAGGCAATTCATTTGTCATGATTCCCTTGGTGGGGCTGGTGTTGACAAATCTCATGTTCCTGAATTTTGAATGCCATTGTTGCTTTTCAATATATAACACCGATTTAAACACATCTAGAAGTTTCCAACGTTGTTTTAATAAAATCACTCTTGTGATTGCTGAAGGCATGTGTAACGATCTAGCCCGAATATTTGAACTAACGAGTCTGGAATGAACAGTCGGACGGTTAAAATATTACTTTTAAATTCAAATAGTGTTTATCATCTACATTCCAATTAAAATTGAAGTGCCACTAACTTCTATTTTCATCAAACTACTAATACGTTCGAAATATCCTCAAAAAATTATCTTGATCGGGCACGAATCTTGAAGCAAAATCAAGTTAGAAACTTTAAAATTAAACCAGAGACCATCTAAACTTTGATTTCAGCAAACTTGCAGTCAAACTGAATGTCTTAGAAACACAAACTCAACGACACCAAATTTGACTCAATCCAAGCCCAAATGAGTCCAAATAAAAGACCCGAAGCGTATTTGGAAGGTTCAATCTATAATTTCGATTACTAAACAGTTTCTACACGTGATATGCTTATAGTCGAATCGAGTGGCTTGACGAGACGAATCCAATGAGTCCAAGATCGCCAAATTCGGATATCATTAAGATGCTCAAATGCCCAATAAACGGCTCACGATCAAGAGATTCAACATCGGTCGTCCATTCAAACCATTCCCAATTTACCCTTGATCTTCCTCCTATTTACTGACCATGTCACTATCAGAAAACTATAAATAGACCCTCATTTCTTATGGAAGGGAAGAGGAAGAAAACCCAAGAAAAGAAGCAAGGAAGAGAAGGAAGAGTTCTCTTGCCATAAGACACCTCCTCGACAACCGTCGGACTTCAGCCCAGCCACCTATTGTCGCCAGAATTTTGCCCGGCTACTGACGATATCGGACTTCCGCATGTCGCCGGATTTCTACTTGATGTTAGAATTTTGCCCGTCGCCGAAGTTCTGCCTGTCGTCGGCATTCTACTCGATGTCGGACATCCGCCTGTCGTCGGACTTTCGTCAGACTTTTACCCGACGCCAAACTTCAGCCCATCGCCGGACTTTTCTTAGACTTCTACCCAACACAGAACTTTTACCCGTCGCCGGATTTATGTCCATTTCCAAACTTCTACCCAACGTCGAACTTCCGCCCATTTTCGTACTTCTATCCATCGTTGGACTTCTACCAGACGCCAGACTTCCGCCCGTCTCCAGACTTCTGACAGTCGTCAAACTTCTACCCAATGCCGGACTTCCGCCCATCACTGGATTTCTTCCCGACGCCGGACTTTCACCCATCACTGGACTTTTGTCCATTGTCGGAATTCTACCCGACTCCGAACTTCTACGTGTCACCAAATTTCTACTCGACACCAGACTTCCACCCGTCGCCAGACTTCAACCTGTCGTCAGACATCTACCTGATGCCAGACTTCCGCCAGTCAACGGTCCTTTTGACCTTCGTCGCCAGACAACGATCTTTCTGACCTCCGTCGCCCGCCGACTACGGTATTTTTATCCTTCGTCGCCAGACAACGATCCTTCCGACCTCCGTCACCCACTAACTACGGTCCTTCTAACCTCTGTCTCCAGAAAATGGTCTTTCCGACCTCTATCGCCAGCCTAATATGATTCTGCTGACCAAACAAACATATCAATAGTGATTTTTTAAGTCCCATCATATAATACACGTTATAGAATTTATATTTATTACATCAAACTAAGGCCTTCCCCCATAGAAGGGCATCATTTGTAATCGACTGCAAATAGTATTGGATTCATTCAAATTAGATCAGGCATCGTGGTTTTTCCCCTTTTAAGGATTTTTTACATAAAAATCTTGGTGTATTTTTATGAATACTGCACCATCTCTCTTATCTTATTACATGTTGAATCTTCCTACAAAGTTAAGACGTTAAAATTTATATTTATCTACTGTCGCTAATAGGGGTGTTAATATTTGACACGAACCGAAAACCCGACACGAACCCGACTCGAAAATTTCGGGTTCGGGTTTGGGATTTCAACCTGTTCATAAAACCGGGTCTGGTTCGGGTTGACTCGGAAACCCAAAATCAACCCGGTTTGACCCGAAATTCCGTCTCTTAGCTCGTGTCACGTCCTTTCACTCGCGTCCGTCACTTCGTGTTGGTCAATTCGCCTGTCAGCACTATCATGTCGCGTCTGTCAACTCGATTTGTCCCCGCAGTGCCGCTGCCGCGTCGAACTCCCGAGATCGCGACAATGCCTACAAGGGCTGCGACTTGCGACCGAGCGGCCACTGCAGCAGCTGCCGACAGGCCCGACCCGCACCGCACTACCTCAGTGTCGCTGCCGTGTCGAACGAATGACGCGTTGACGTGCGTGGAAGATCCGCCTGCCCGAGTGGACGACACAGTGCCGCCGTGCCGAATGAACGACGTGCGTGGTTTGTCCCTGCAATGTTGCTGCTGTTGCGTCCAAACTCACATTTGTCATGTCAGCGAGTCAGGTCGGGTTCGGGTTCGAAAAATAGACCCGTTTGCAAAAACGGGTTGGGTTCGGGTTGACCCGAACTGTGTCGGGTCAGTTCCAGGTTCGACTTGAACCCTACCCGTGACCCGAAATTGACACCCCTAGTCGCGAATATTTCAGGACACAAGAACATTCTTCACGTCTTAATATTTACATAAACAAGAAATTACCTTCTTTCATTTGAGCACCATATTATGTAGACATACTCCTCTCTTTGAGCCATTTTCACTTATCTGGAGACTTACGTGAAAGTTTATTTTAACAGGTTGGATTTACATGGTAAACTCAGTGGGTAATTACTCTTATAACATAACAGTTATACAAAAATATATAATGAATTTATATGCTTTTTTTTCATTTTTCTTTTCATCTAACATATACATTAATGTGTCAATTTATATGGGATAAATTTTTATTATATTTTGTCCAATGACATATTTATTTTTCATTTAATGTTTATTCATCTTTTATTTTCATTTATCTCTTTCCCTTTTTCATTTAATATATTAGCGTTGTTTAAATGTACCAATAAATTAAGGTACACTTATTTTCATTTTCTTTTTCATAACTTTTTTCATGTGACGTACACGAGTACATTGCTTCCCTAGCCAGTATCATATGGGGGATGTACTCCTTTAAATTGGCATGGTTGTACTTTTTCCATATTTTATTACTTTTTTTTTATATATAAATCATTGCTCATATATACATTATGCTATATCCTTAGTCATATAATAATTCTCAAAGTTATTTCATATTTAACATTTAAATATAACACACATATAATGATAATTCCGTATAATTATAACTTACATTTAAATTTTTTTATTGTTTTAATTAGTTCGTATAACATGCAGTAATTGCAATAATTACAAGGAATCATAATTATATTAAAAAAAGAATTTGAAATTGCCATAAAATAATTATGTTATAATTACTCGCTTTTATAATTCGGGCTTCAATTCCTTTCAAATATTCGACCCTTGAAATAATCTCTCTTGTTACAACCTAAATTCATATAGAATCACATAAATTATTATTATATTTAACTTTCATTAATTTTACATAAACATTTATTAAATGAATTCTTACTTCAAATCCCTCGAGTAATCTTTTAAATCAAACTGCAATTTAACTTATTTTGATAAGATTCTGTTCGACTCATCTCATATGTACTTCTGAAGTACTTACATGTGAAACACATTGTGTATCCCTTACATATGTACTAGCAAATTCTATATGTATGTCATATTTCTATCCTCTCAATAATTTCAAAAGGACCTACGAATCGTGAGCTCAATTTTCATGTCATTCCAAATCGTTTTACACCTTTCATTGGATTAACTTTAATGAAAATAAACTCTTCCACTTCAAACTCAACTTGTATGTGCTTTGTATCATAATATTTCTTTTGTCTAACATGTATTGTTTTTAATCTATATCTGATCAATTTGATTTTTATAGTAGCATCATCCACCAGTTCAGTACCAATGATTTTTATTTCCATATTTCTTACCCAACACAAAGGTGTTTTGCATTTCTTTCTATAAAGAACTTCATATGACATCATTCTAATGTTGGATTGAAAATTATTATTGTATGCAAATTCAATTATTGGTATATAAGTTTTTCAATTTCATCCAAAATCCAAGACACATAATCACAGTAAATCTTCTAAATTATGAATTGTTCTTTATGATTGCCCATTTGTGTGAGAGTGAAATTAATGCACTGCTAAAAGTCAATCTGAATTCAACTACCTAAAGCTTCTTGAATCTTTTTCCACAATATAAAAGTTAATCGGACATCTCTATCAGAGATTATTAATTTTAGAATTCCATGCAATCTTATAATTTCATCAACATATACCTTTACAAAATTTTTCCAATGAATAAGTCTATTTAATTGGTAAGAAATGACTAGATTTTATCAATCGATCTATAATAACCCAAATTACATCCCAACTCTGCCTTGACCTGAGTAACCCAATTACAAAATTCATTTCAATATCTTTCCATTTCAATCTAGATATTAGTAAAGGTTGTAATTGACCACTTGCATTACATTAAAGTAGCGTATTACTGCCAGATTTTTCGGCGGACGGATTTCTAAATTTTACGGAGGATTTCCGGCGAAAAAGTTTTCAACGATAAATCAAGCGTTGAAAAAAAAATCCCGTCAAAAAAAATTCATCGAAAAATTTTTTTGGCGAAGTAGGCCACCAGATATATTTTCCGGCGACTGTCCGGCAGAAAAGCTCCGCCGGAGTAAATAAAAAGGAATTTTTAAAAAATAATTCCTTCCGCTGGCCCGCCCGCAAGTGGCCCCCGTTTTGGCCAGGCCTGAATTTTACACTTCTCAAACAGAATTCACATTTTAAAAATTTGGCATATAACTTAATTTCTTTATGTGTTTGCAATACAGCATGAAGATGATTGGAATGACTCTTTTCATCCATTGAATAAATCAAGATATCATCTATAAATATAATTACAAAAATATCCATGAAGGAGCATTCATCACTCCAAATGACATTTCTATAAACTCAAATGACCATATTTTATTCTGAAAATAGTCTTAGCAATATCAACCTCCTTAATGTGTAGCTGATGATACCCATAATGTAAATCAATCTTAGAGAAAGTTATAGCTCCCTCAAGTTAATCGAATGGGTCATCAATTCTTTGCAATGTATATTTATTTTTAACAGCGAGCACAAATAGTATTGGAGTTCCTCATGATGAGGAACTCGGCCTGATAAAACTTTTATCTAGCAACATTTATAGTTGACTTTTTAGCTCTTATAATTTCTTAACTACCATTCTGTAGGGTGCATTTGTCACTAGTTCTGAACTTAGAAATAAATGAATAATAAATTTTATCTCTATTTCTAGTGGTAATCCTGGCAAATCATCTACAAATACTTATGAATATTTTTTTACTACAGGTATATCTTTCAACTCTTTAACTTCTTTATTTGTATCCCTTACTTAAGTAAGGAAACAATGATATCTCTTGGATACAAATTTACAATCTTTCATATATGTTATTACCATTGAAGAAATTTTTCTATCCCCTTAAACTTTACATTCTTTTTTATCAAGGAATTTAAGTTTAACTATCTTCCTATTGCAGTCTATAATCACAAATAATTTGATAACCAATCATTTCCCAAGATCATATAAAATTCTTGTAATGATAACACATTCAAGGTTGCTTCAAATTCTCTCTCATTAATTTTGAAAATCACTTGACATATAGTATGAACGTTCATTATGGATTCATTTGGCATTAATACTTCTAGGATTGTGGATACTTTATAAACATTCAATTCAATTATTTTTATAAATTCCTCTGAAATGAAAGAGTGTGATGCTTCTGTATAAAAAAAATTATAATAACTTTCTTTGAATTGTTATTATACCCATAAAATTTTCATACAAATTAACATGTACATATATTATTTCTTTAATATTTTTCACATTACTTGATTAATCATGAAAATAAAAAAATTCTCATGGATTAAATAAAAACATACATGTAATCACTTCAGCTGAGTTCTTGGCAGTCTGCTGAGATAGTACATATACTCTAGGCTGGGTACTGGGTCGACCTTAACTTGGCCTTGGAGTAGAAGCAGCTAATTCTATCATCTTTGATTTTTCAACATTCCTCTGAGGTTCAGTATTCATCCTTGATTCTCCTGATGGTTCTGGCCCCAATGTATGATAGTTCTTAACTATGGGACTTGGTTGATGACACCAAAAGCAAGTATATGTCCCATATAGCCATTCCCCCTTATGTTGCTTTTCACACTTAACTGTAATTATTCATGATCATTTTCATTTGACTACGACTGGTCTTTGCCTTCTTCCAATTAAACTTCCCAGATTGTAGAGTAGTTTTACTATAAGAATCCTGAGAAGTTTCCATAATATCACCACTCAACCCGAACCCGACCCGTGCGGGTTACCGGGTTGACACGACCCAACCCGCGAACATCTGCGGAACGCCGGAGCTAAGCGAAGCGGAGGGCCGAAGGCTGTAGATGCCTGGATGGCTGAAAGCGGAAATCCTAAACTCTGGAACTCCTGGACGCCGACGCCTGGACGCTGTCGCGGGAAGAGCCGAGCCACCGACGCGGGACCCCTGGACACAGATGCAACTTGTGATGCGGAGTTACAGACGGCGGACGCGACCTGACACCGTGACACAGACGCGACGTCGTGGATGCGACTTGACGGGCAGCACAGACGCGACCTGACGCATGGAATGACTAAACGGGTCAATTCGGGTCGACCCGCGGGTTGTCGGGTCACCCCGAACCAGACCCACTTTTTAGACGAGTCAAAAATCTGAACTCGAACCCAACCCGTTTAACAAATGGATTGACCTAAAACCCGAATTTTTTCAGGTCGGATCCGAGTCGGGTTTCGGGTCGTGTCAACTTTTGACACCCTATTCGAATGGTCCCAATTTTAATTTTGGAAGTTTACAACTTGATTTTGCATTGAGATTTGTACCCGACAAGATAATTTTTTGATGCCATATCAAATATAGCATTTCTGAATTCCCCCATATTAACATTCGAGAGAGACATTAGGGAGGCGGCAGGGACAAGAGGATCTAGGGTTTTGGCTGTGCTCTTTGACATCGGCGGCGGCGATGGATGCAGACGCGGTGGCCCGCGCATTCGTGGAACACTACTCAAATCTCTAGCATGATGTGGGGGTCAGTGGCCAAATCTCCACTCATGCTGGATGAACCTAATAAGATTAAATAAAACACTTATTAAACAGTAATATCGCCTTGTTGCTCATTCCTGGTCCCTTAAAGATTTGTTAGTTTATTATCTTAAAATTTATGTTTATTTAGCATTTTTTAAAAATATTTTAAGAAATAAATAAAGTTAATTTAAAAAAAAAACTCAAAAAAACATCGAGTTATTTTGAATATTTTTTAAAACACCTATCATAACCAACTATTGGCATCGCATCCTTCACCCATCATCGATGACCGACAGGACCACCACATGAATCAAACAAACATATTTTTAACCTATCAAATATTTTTTATTTCATGTTAAAATATAAAATAAAATAAATTAAATTAAATTTAAAAAAAAAAATTGATTCCAAAATGCCCCTTAAACATTAGTTTCCTACAATCAAAGTCAACTCACGAACAAACTCGGAAGTTGAGTTTAACGAGCAATGAGTTCAAGCTCAAGCTTCGTCAGGTTTGTTCATTGACTTGTCGAGCCAACTCGATCAATATCAATTGACACATCAATATTTATATAAGCTTAACTAATTATTTTTTTTATCAATATTTAAAATAAGAGATCGAGCTCCAAATCAAGCTCAAGCATTCGAGTTGAAATCGAACATCGTATAGTCTACTTGAGTTGAGCTCCAGCTAAACAAATGAGCCCGAGTCAAGCTCGAGTTCAAGCTAACTATAAATTAAGCAAAATTAACTTGATTAAACAAGAACTTTGACTCGACTCCACTTGTTTATACCCTACCATCAATAAGAAGTTTTCTCACACCGCCAGCCTCTTCCCTCCCATATCCACAAACAATTGCAGAAACAGGTAAAATAAAATACAAATAGTTCAATTTACCTGATATCAAATCTTAACTCAGTAGATGTGAGTTAATTGATTAAGAGAGAGAGTTTCTGAGTACGGGTCAAAGCCACTTCTTCTCCTTCACCATTTCACTAATCCATTAAAAAAAGGTAACATTCACTGAATAACAAGAGAGAAATAGGCAGAAATTTTGAGAAAGAAAGAAATAATGTCTTAATTACACTCTGTTATCTCTCTTATTGCACAACAATGCCAAAAATGTGTAACACCTAATGAATATTTACATGAGTGAGTAGGTCATGAAGACTTCTCTATGTTGAAAATGCACCCGAGTTTGTAAGCACAGATTGGGTTTATAGAAAGCTGAAATGTGAATCAAGTGTTCAGCTTGCAAATATTGACAAATTTTTCAACTGCATTACGATATTGGGTTCCCTGGAAATAGATGAAAAGTAAATTTAAAGATACAATTGGATTAACTACAGCGACCTGGATAGAAACTCACTGAAAGAGAGTAAAGATACTACAACAACAACAACAACATCAACATCAAGTCTTAGTCCCACTACGAGGGGAGGCTACATGAATCCTTTTTCTCCATTGTGTCATGTTAAAAGTCAAATTCTTATTTAAATCTAATAAGGAAAGATCATTTCTAATATTCTCTAATCATGTCTTTTTAAGTTAAGTATCTTTCTTAACACAAGTCAAATCTAATACCTTTACTTTCCAAACTGGGTCATCGGAAGGCTGCCGTTTTATGTGACCAAACCATCTAAGATGACTGTCTCTAACCTTATCTTCCACTAGAGCTACTCCAACCTTTTCACGAATATGCTCATTTCGTATCCTATCTCTAAGAGTAAAGCCACTCATCCACCTGAGCATCCTCATCTCTGCAACACTTAACTTAGTATTATGCTTATTTGAAACAGCTTTTCAGCATATGATAAGAATATGAGAGGAGTTAGGTCTACTACTTTCTCATAAAAAGGGGTACCCAAAAAACAATATAGTTACTTGATATAATAAAGTGACCGGTCATTTAATGATAATCTCATTAAATCTATAACGTCAGATTTTATGATAGGATTTGAGACAGTATATTGGGGTTTACCTTACAAGAATTATCACACAGCTAGCATTTTCAATTTTTAACCTTGGAAATAAATAATTATCGAAGCATCACTAAAAAAATGCACAAGAAAAAAACTAACCTCCCAGTATAGCTGTTTGCAGTCTGTGCACTGCCAAAATTCTATATCCTTGTTGAAGAGGCAGTTAGGAATGACTTGGAACCCTTTGGAAGCTTCTATAGCTTCCTCAAGTGTCAAGGGTTTTTGAAAGAAGCTACCGTTGCATTTTGTGCATCTTGACATGAGCTGTTCCTCAGAAATATTCAAGTGAAAGGTCTCAATCACCTGTCAAATGTACCAAACAGAAATCATCAGACCGCGGTCACGACTCGCGACCGTTATTCCCTGTTTGAGCTAAGAGAATCGAGATCTGACAAGTAAGAATGTTTAAGCAAATGTATTATGCTTTCAAGAGCCTGATATACCATTGGAGAAGGAATTGGAAGAGTAGAACAGAAAACTCTAGTACATACTGAAAGCACTATGAAAAGTCTAGAAGCCTGGCCTTGCTTGTTTAGTACTTTTACATGAAACAGAAATTGTGATATGTTATTTTACTATAGTAACTCAGTAAAACTGTACCAATCCAATTACTCCGTATTTGAATAATATAAGAAAAAAGCATTAAAATAATGTAACAATCAAAAGTTAAGCAACGCCAAGCGAATGTCTCGTAGCTGGAAAACAACATTCCAAGAGCTTTCATCCATCAAGTTAGTTAAAGTCAAGCGAAAATAATTGATATAACCAACCTAACACAATAAGAAAGATCTACCTTGCTGGGGTTACCAGCAATATATTCAGTAAGCAAAATGCAAATTCTCTTTCTAATTGGAAAAACAACTAAAACCGAAATACAAAAATTAAAAGACAAATATAATAGAATTGCTAATCAATTACCTCAAGCAGTTGGTCATTTTTTAGCAAACTCTTAATTCTGTACACTTGATTATTTGCTAAATACTGGTATTTCAGAAGTTTAGCATCTCGTGTTAGAAGCACTCTTTTTTCTTTGTATGCTTGATCCAGCAACTGTCTGAAAAGAATAAAATAAGTGAAAACAAGAATCAGGGAGATGACATATTTTAACTTGTAATATTGAACAACTATAAATCTGGTTCGTAGAAAGCACCTTGGCTCAGGTTTTCTGATGGATGGGACAGCAGCATCTATTCCAACACACCGTAGATGCCGTGCTAAACCTTCTACCTGGGTGTCATTACACTATTGTCAAACAACGACCATTGAAATATGATAAATGAAAATGTTTTAACAAATTCTGCATAATTGGAAGGAAAGAAAAATGATGGATTAAAAAAATGAAAATAGAGAATCAATCAAATAGGGCAGTGTTAAAAAAATGAAATAGATAGTTGATCAAATTAGGCAGTAATAGTACCTCCAAGTATATAACCTCAGCTAATTTTTATTATCAAAAAGAAAATACAGGACATAGAAGGACCAAGGCACCGGCCTATCGCGCGAATGTGGGTTTCTCAGGATACTAAATTTTTGTATTTTTTAATTAGATACAGATGGAAGGAAAGTACATTTTACTGAATTACTGGGAGTTGAATATAATAAGCTGAAGCTATGTAATAGAAGGTCCTGAGAATCGCAAGCATATTTCTTCACTTCTTGCTTCTCATTTTTATGCATGTGGTTGAACTGATAGGCTAAACATAATTGAAGTGTCATATTTTCTACTCCCAAGTCATGGATGAAAAAAGTAGAGGATTGCATTAGGTAGTCGACAGCCAGCGTAAAAATTATCGAATAATTATGACATTTGGCAGCCTTCCACTGCCCGGTTAGGAAAGTAGATGTATTAGATTTGGCTTATGTTAAAAAAGTAGAGATAGACCTAAAAAGACTTGGTTAGAAAATATTAGAAATGACCTTTCTTTATTAGATTTAAATGAGAATTTGACTCTTGGCAAACTCGAGTATTTCAATGTAAACCCAAAAACAAAATTCTGTAAGCCTTTTTACTTTTAGGTTAGAAGTGATGGTGCAAGTGAAGAAATTTTCATGCTCTGGTATTTAGTTTCCAATCATGGATCAGATCAAAATCTTCAGCAAGAGAACAGGCAAACAGAAATGATAAGAAACATGTTTATAATTGCTTCAACAGAGTTAAGGTGCATAAGCAACAAAATAAGCAATTGTTTGCAAGCCTGAAGGGACCATTCCTTCAATAAGGAAATAAATCAGAAACAATTGAAAAACACACACACAAAAAAAAATTTAGGCTATGAAAATTCTATTAAGAGATGAATGCAAGGAGAAACTAACAGATGCTATCATGAAAGCAAAATACATGTGACATCCCCTACCATAACATCACAAAGAAATTTTGAGCAGCCATCACCACCATATGCTGGATCCCAAGGTGGGAGGGCCTGCCAATTTCCATTAATTTCAAATTCCTCTTTCCTCTTGGTATTTACAGATGATTGTTCTCTTTTTCTCCTTGAAACCCTAGGTTTTCTGTCCGCTTCCTTCAAGTGAATTCTCTCACCATACATCTTGACAATGTCTAAGATGTGATCATCTATAAGATAACTAGTTTTACAAGAAGGCTGTGAGCTAGATCCCATCGCAGTATCCCCTAAAAGACTAATTGTTGGATAACATGATTTGATCATATCTGATGCACTGCAGAACTTAATCCTCACAACATTCTTGCATGAACTAGAATCCGTAAAGATTTCCTTCAGTCCACCAGTTGTTTTAGAGAAACTCAATTCCGTCAATAGGGATGATTCTTTTCCTGAGATTTCAAGGTGCATAAAGAAACAAATGATCGAATAAATAAACCGCATTAATAATTTAATACTAGAACAAAGAAGTTAATATGGCAAAAAATGAACATGCTACAGATTTGGAACTTTGGTAGGCAATCATAAGAGTTTTCTTTCAAAAGTGCAGGCATAATGTCACATTCGCATTCAGCTGCTATAGATGCATTTAAACAATACTAATATTTTTTTTTTGGACGGTTAGGGGAGTTGAGCCCAGATGAGATGAGAGGAATTTCTTCTGTCGACCACTCGGCCATAGACCCAATCTCCATACTAATAATTTAATACTAGAAAAAGAAAGTTAACATGGGCAAAAAATGAACATGCTACAGCTTTGTTTGCCAATCATAACGGTTTTCTTTCAAAAGTGCAACCATAATGGCACAACGTGACGTTCGGATTCAGCTGCTATATATACATTTAATTTGTTTGTATTTTGTTAAAGGGAATTCAAACCATCATTTGACCTCTCTTAACGAGTAAGGAAACAAAACTGATTGACTAACTTGATAGCCTTTTTCAAGTTTGGAACAAAATAAGATCATAATACAATTTCAAACTTGAAAAAGGCTATCAAAGACGGTAAATGCACACATGTATTATGATCTTAAATTGTATTATGATCTTATTAATGAGCAAACATTATGATCTTATTTTGTTCCAACTGAGCCTGCTCTCAAGCAAACATTATGATAAAAAAGGCTATCAAACTTGATAGCATTTACTTCCCACTGAGCCTGCTCTCCAAGACGGTAAATGCACACATGTATTCCACACAGTTTAAACGTATAAGTAAATGCTGATAATACAAAATGATCTGCTGAATAAATAGAAAGTACAGAAGCAGAAACATAACAATTAATGAGCAAACATTTAAGCAATTTAAGTCAAATCTTATCTCAAAGAAAGGGTTTAATTATTGCAAAATATAGCAACCAAGCATCTATCTAATAGATACATCAGGAAACATTGTCTGAGAAATAATGGCATACAACAAGTGAAGGCTAACCTATAAATGTACAAGGGAAAAAACGGGATTGGGCTTAAAAAAAATGAGCTAAAAAGGTGCTTGAATTCCAATAATGTCAAATACCGTCCCAGCCATCCTAGCCCTCTGTTAGACTGGTCTAGCCGGTCCATATGGGACCGGCTTACGCACAATAGAGGTGGAAGTTCCTCCATGGCCGATCAAACTGCCCAATTCAACAGAGCGAATTAGGAAGGTTTTAGGAGAAGTTTAGGAGGAAAATTTGAATATAAGGACTGTTTAGAGATTTCCTTTTGCATTGTATGCATTAAATAGTTTATTTTTCTACGGTTATGACTTCTTGAATTAGGCTGAAATTTGATCTCTCTCTTAGGTTTTGGGCTCTAGCAGCATCTAGAGATTTGGGAGAGTCGGATCTTCTTCTCCAATTGAAGATCCACTTCTATGTTGTATTTTCTTTCCTAAAACTTTCAATAAAAAGTGTTCTTGTATGTTCTTTTCCTAGTTTTCTTGTTTTTTTTTTTTTTTGAAATTGCTGAAATCTAATTTCAACCAAGGCTTTTCCTAAATCTCTACAAGAACCTCCTATCAACCTCCCTTAGATCTTGATCTTATGGCTAGGATGGGGATATGTGAGAGGCTCACATGGATCACGCCAATATCCTTCCATATTCAGTTGGTTGATTTAAAAAGGATTATATTAGGGCAATTATGCATGATTCTATAGCTGTTTGTTTCTTTATATAGATATCTTATATGCATCTATAAATAGGGATAGTCCCGTATAAAAACATTAAGACTTCTCCCTCTCTAATTTTTTGAATTTAACATAGTATCAGAGTCAAATTACCACCACTATCCTTCATTATCAGAATTATGAAAAAAATTGGTCATTCCACCAGCCTTCATTATCGGAATCACTAGAATATACAATTCGAAGGAAGAAGAGGAGTAAGGGCCTTCATTGTCGTTGGAGATAAAATGAGAGTTGAGCGATCCAAAACGCTCATACCCTCTGTTTCGTGCCTGCAACTAGAAAAAGTGGAGATGGTAGTCTCTCGTGCGTCCAATAGCACGGAGAGATTGAGGGGGAGGGCTCCTATTGCATGCATCTGGGGCGAACCGAGAGAAAGCCTCCTCTCGCATATGTGCGACTGCACGAGACGAGAAATCATTCGTCCAGACAGCGACCAGGGCCTCCTAGGAATGGCGGCATCGAGCTCAACTTTCGTTCCTGCATGCGACATCCAAAGTCGATCGAGCAAAAGTGAAAGAAGTTGAGTGCTGGACCTCCTCCTGTGATCAGACCAGAGGGATTAGAGGCCTCGCATGCGCCTGTACGGGGTCGATCGAACAGGAGTTTGTTCAAGTGGAGTCAGACGACTGATTTGCATTGGGCCAAAAACTGGCTCAATCGGATGGCTTGGGAAGGAGGAAATCTGCGTGGTGAGTGTTGAGCCACTTGAGACGTATTTTTTCTGTTGATGTCCCTGAAGCTTGTCACAAACTAAAAAATATAATTTTTTCTTTCTACTATCGTGCCTTCATTGTCAGCCTTCCCTTGAGAACCGAGAGGGAGACAGGCCCGAAGTATAATTGATCCACTTTCCCTGTCGTCCCACCACTGTCCTCTATTGCCATTTCAGGTATCTTGAGGGCTATTGTTCAACTTAGCATTCATTGCTACCTTGCATCTTGCAGGCTTGATTGATATAGCCTTCATTGCTATCATTTGTCGCAGCAATATTTGAAGCTAATTTCTCCCAAAGTTTTGACCAAATGGAGGACTCTATGATGCATTAAGGGACTTGATAGTTCTACCTTTTTGGGATTGGTTATCAACCTGGGAATGACAAATTTGTATTCCCCAGCTTGGGGGAGAGTGTCAAATACCGTCCCAGCCATCCTAGCCCTCCTTTGGCTCTTGATCTTATGGCTAGGATGAGTATCTGTGAGAGGTTCACCTAGATCACGTCAATCTCCTTCCATATTCGGGTGGCTGATTTAGGAAGTATTATTTTAGGGCAATTATGCATGATTCCGTAGTTATTTGTTTCTTTATTTAGATATCTTGTATAGATCTTGTGCAATAAAATTAAGCCTTTTTCCCTCTCCAAATTTCTAAATTTAACAAATAAGATGGTAGCTTTTAATTGATAAGCAATACCTATACTGTTTACGCCAATTAATCTTAGATTACGGCTATCAAAAAGTTCAGGGAATCAAGTAGCTTTAAAATGCCAGAACCTGGCCAAATTGTGAAATTAGCTGCATCACGTGAAGAAAAGACAGATCTAAGCATTGAACTTACTGCTTTTTTAAATCTATTACCACGTTAATATTCAAACTGTATTGATTAGGTTGAATGATACAACTGAAATTCCCAAAGGGCATCCCATCTTCCCAAAGTTCTATAATCCATCCAACATCACAAAAAGGGATATGATCTGATTAAAGGGAGCTTTCTTTCAAAGAAGAGAACGCTGTCAAAGCTATTAGCAACATACATGGACGGAAGAACACATACCACATAATCAAAAAGTAAGAAAAGAATCTGCTTAAAAACATGCAATTTACTCCAACTCAAATTCTCCTATAAAAAGTGGTCCAGTGTAAAATACCAAAATAAAATCATTATATTAAATTAAAAAAATAAGCTCCATTCATAAATCGCTTTTACTTAGGCAAAACAGAAAACAAGAGCCATATTCCAAACCATGGTTTAAAATTGCGCGATATGAGGCTCACCTTGAGGCCCGCCTTTGCGCAATTCCAGTGAAAAGCGCCTTGAGGCTTGCGCCTCAAGTTTTTTTTATAAGGCTTGCGCCTCAACTTGGTTGAGGCCCGCCTTAAGGCGCGCATCGCCTCACTGGCGTGAGGCTTACGCCTAACCCGATATATATTAAAACTTACATAAATCCTGAAGTAAAGCCGCAAACAAATCACAATTCGTGTACCCCCTAGTCGCAGCAACTTCCTCTCAACTTCCTTAACCTCTAACCCGTCGCCATTTTTTAACATATTATTTGAGTATTATATAAAAATTTACTTTTAACATTTATTTGCACTTAACACAAATTTTATATTATGAAGCTCACGCCTCAAAATGCCTTGAGGCTTACACCTCGCCTTACAAACAAAAAACAGCTCAATACCTAATTGCGCATTTTTAAACATGGTGATGACAGTGCTGATGACTTATGAGTTCTTATGTGATATGTCATTGCTATTTATTTTTGGAATTATATGTTAATGAAAAAAATACTGTGATTTGGGAAAGGAGTTTGAGTTGAACTATATTTCATGTTGTCTTATTATTGGGATATTTTGATTTCACTTCATATCTTCTGCATTTTTATGTTTTATATATTATTTACTCATTAGTATATACAAAATTTATCATTTTATGTTTATGCAATTTTTTGATTTTGAGTCTTACGCGTCAAAACGTCTTGAGGCTTACGCCTTGCCTCACGAACAAAAAATGCCTCAATAAACGATTATGCAATTTTAAACATTGTTCCAAACAAAGTAGCATACAATAAAGTTTCCTAGATGAGTTATTTCAATGCCAACCATTAATTTCATCTTAAAGGTTCACAATATGGTGTCATCAAACAACACACTTTATCAATCATTCCAAGAAAAAAAAGTGACAAAAGATGGATAGCAATCAAAGCTTTGGTTGTTTTTTGCAAAATGAGCCCCCGACTATATGTACGTGACTAATTTAAACAAATAATATCACATTTCTCCAATTTAGCCTCTTGACCATACAAAATTAAGCTAAAATGGCCCATGAACCCTAGGGACTAAATTGGGATAAATTTAGTATCATAACTTGGAGGAATTTTAAAAAGGAGCGTGTTTAAAATATAATTAAGTAAAATGAGCATAATTATTAAAAAATTTAAAAAGGAACAAATCCGCCAAACTATTTGGCGTAGTCATAAATGTGCCAAATGATTTGACGAGTTCTGAATGTGCCAAATCATTTGGCTTATTCAGCTGAAATAGGAGAGAGAAATGATTGGGAGAGAGAGACGGGTAGAGAAGACAAATTGGGAGAGAAAGAGAAATGAGAGGGAGGGAGAGATGTTGAGGTAGAAATGGATAGGAAGAGAGAAAGATTTAATATTATTTAAATAATAATTAAATATTATTTTAAATATAAAAAATTAGTTAAATCTCTCTCTCTCCCCATTCGTCTCTCCCTCCACATCTCTCTATCCCTTTGGGTTCTCTATCTCCCCATTTGTCTTCTCTCCCTGCCTCTCTCTCCTCTTCTCTCTCCAAATCTTTTCTCTCTCCTATTTCAACTAAATACGCCAAATGATTTGGCACATTTAGAACTCGCCAAAGCAATTGATATATTCAAGACTAAGCCAAACTATTTGACGAATTTGCTCCTTTTTAATTTTTTTAATAATCATGCTCCTTTTACTTAATTACATTTTAAACACGCTTCGTTTTTGAAATTTCTCCTCATAACTTCTACATGAAGAACAATTTTAAATCAATTTTATATATTCGAGGGACTAAATTAGAAAATTATAATACTATGGGATAAATTGACCACACAAGAATAACCGGGGGATTATTTTGAGATTTTAAGTTCATCAAGTTGAGCTATTCTAGAATCGCTTAAAGCTGGGTTATGGATTGGCGTTATAACTAGAAAGATGATAAATCAAAACAATTTCACTAACAGAATGTTTGTGCATATTAAATTATGGAATGAAAAATAATGTTAGTAGAGAAATAAAAAACTGCAAATAATCATAAGATTAAATTAGCTTTCAATTACTATTAAGCCTATGCATACTAGGTTTTTAATTTGGTCTACAGAGCAAGTAAAGTCTGATGATTTTTTACTTGTACAGTAAGCAAACAAAGGAGGTTAGAAGAATTACGAGCATGAACCTTCAGTAAGAAACTTCTGCTCAAACACGGCAAATATTTCAAGCAAGTAATATGCATCGGCGGCAGCGTATGATATTTGCCCTTCAGTTAGTGGACGGCAAGACCAGTCACTACATTGGAGTTCCTGAAGAAGAATGCTTTAGATGGAAACCATCTGCAGTAACATATAATATAACAAAAAGGAGAACAAAAACATCAAATACTTCAATAACTACAAACAGGCAGATAACATAAACAATAAAAATGCACTTCATGCACATGAAAAAGAATATATAGGTCATTAAAGCCCAAAGATTCCCATTACAACAGTCTAGTTCATGAAAAAGAAATCGCATTGCATCACTGAGTGGAGATACACGGAATAATCTTTTATCTGAATCCAAAACCTTCAATCCAGGAGGACTGACTTTGATGTCCACCATCTCCCGATGACACGCCTCGACGGAGTCGAGCTTTTTTGACGCAAGGGGAGAATGATGCGGAGCATGTTAGCTTAGAATGTTCCTTAGGTTATTTTATTTAGTTTGTTACAAGTCTTCTAGGATTCTCTAGGTTGTCTCTATTTGAGTATTATATATATGTGGAATGTGTTAGAGGAAAGGATCATATGATGAATATTATCTCTTTTTTGAAGCTTTAAGCTTGGTGTTATCTTTGTTCCCTAGATTGGGATTATCTTCTTCAAGCATCCTCTTCTTCCATTGATCCAATCTACATCAGTAATGGGCTAGAGAGAGGAGGTGACTATGGTGGGGAACCAAGAAGAATTTTTTGGGCCATGGTGGCAGACTGCTGCCACCATTGTAGTCTTAGTTGCCCCTCCATTCCCATGCAGTTTACTTATTAAAATTTGTTTGTAAACTTTTTTTATATAATTTTGCCAATTGACAATCCAAATCTTAGGAGAAAAGTCCATCCAATAAATATATAAACAATAAGGAGTTCAATGCCTTCATGCATTCAACATTTTAGAGCATAGTTGCAGAGCTTTGTGCTTCAAGAACAACCACTCATTTCTCCACTTTAAACACGTTTAAATTCTTCTTAGCACTTTTACGAGAAACAAAACCAAGCACACAAGCAAAAAAAATATCATCAAGTTCTTTTTCACTTTGCCAAAAAGGATCCACTTTTTTCAGCACCTAGATAGTAGCTTGACTTTTATTGTACTTAACTTTTGTAGGCATTTTGAAGTTCGATACAAACTTTTTTCTTATTTGAGCAAATCATAAATTATAAAAATTCTAGAATAAAAAGCACTGTTGAACTTTAAGTTCCTCCATTGGAATGGATAAAAAATCTTCACATTGCTCTATCGCTCTGGAAACAATCACCAAGCGAAGATTTGAATATTACCCATCATCTTCAATGTAACTGTTGAGGCAATCCATTCCCCGTGTTTCCTTCTTTCTTGATCCTATAATGCTCTATATTCAATTAGAGGATGATCCAAGAAAGTTAAACGATGAGAATTAGATGCACACCAGCAACTTTGGCAATATTAATATATCAGAAGAACACCTGAGACTTTAAAATATTTTTTTGATAGATTACGTCATAGATTCTTCTCTTTGGGAAAAGACAATAGACAGTATACAGAAAAGAAAGCTAAAACGACTTTAACCTTCATCCTTGTCAAAAAATAAATGTATAAAAAGATCATAATCCCACATGCATGTGTTGCTTATGCAAGTCTAGTGCTGTAATATGTAGACACGTGCCTCCCTTTTTGTTTTGCAAGGGAGATCGAGTGTTTGTGTGCATGTGTAGTCAACAAAGCAGCAATTGTATCAAGTACAAAAATAATTAGAAAAAACACATCGGAAACATAAGCAAAAGGAAACATTGGCGAAATATATCAAAGCTAACAAAAGAGCTGAACCTTGGATAGAGAGATGCTTAGTACTTCCCAACAAATAGTAGCCAAGCTTATGGTGTCCTTCGGAAACTTTTTCCCCCTATTAAGATATTTCATATGATAGTATATGCTAGTGATATCAATAAACGGTTCAATCTGTTACAAACAAGTACAAATAAAGTTAATAAACACTAAAACAGACAAAAAAAACAATAATACTCGAATATTCAAATTTACCATAAAGGTAAATTCCCGTAGAGTGGGATCTCTATAATACAGTGCTTAAATTGAAACTCATATAAATGTACTAAATATGACATTAAAAACAAGAAAAAGAAGATCATCATTAACATCTACAGTATCAAAATGCAACTTATATTCTGAACAGAAATCATGATAATGGAAATATATGTTGGATATTCAAAAGGTGTTTTGTTTTATAAGACACAAGTAACATGACTACTATATGTAGATATGTTAGGCCAAGGGAAAAAAGGAATATAATAAAGTATAATAAATAAATTAAAGTCATGGACCTTATATTAAATGGAATTTTCCATGCACCTTGCTTTTAAGGAAAAATCCCTTATATACACATATATATACATACACACACACGTGTGTGTGCGCGCACGCCCCCCCATGGGGCATGGGATATCATCATCATTAGCATTATCCCAACTATTTGAGTTCACTTTATGAATCCACATTTTCTACCATTTCTATATAGTATAGCAATAGGAGTTAAACCTGTTTTTTGACAAATCATTTTGAACTTATTTTCTTATTAACTAGCACTTCTCCTTCCTAATCATCAAACACTAATTATATCCACCCAACTAATGGGTGCATTTACTGTCCTTATTTATGCAATTATGCATGTCCAAACTACCTAACCATATTTTTAATTACCTTATCTTCAATATATATCACTTCAACTATTCCTCTAACATGATCATTTTTTTAAAATTTCTTCTTTCTAATTTTTTCACATTCATTTTAACTTAACATTCTCATTTTTATTTCATACAACCTAGCTACCAACAAATTTTTACTTGCCAACACTCCGAACCATACAATATCTAGATTAATAGCAGTTTAATAAAACTTAGCTTTTAGGTTTTCATGGTATTGTCTTATCGTATAATTCTCTTGAGATGCTTCACCATTTGTCACCATTCACTCTAGAAGGCATATTCTTGTTCCTTGGATCTATGCTCTAGGGTCTTCTATATCTGCATTTGGACTTATATTTTTTTAGTGATTTATAAATTTATTAATGTATGATTTATTTAAGTGGTTATAACATAGGTTTAATGTATAATCAGAGGGGTTAATCTTTTTTCATGAATTCTCTGTTACATTAGAGGTTCACTACACTTTAGTTTATACTTCTATAGTTTATTTTATATTTGATAATGAAATTTGAAAATCCTAGTTCTTTTTTTATTTTGGTTAAAACCCACGGAGGGGCCTTCGCATTAATTAAAAAGAAGATGAAAAGGCCCTTAAGGGGGATCTTCATCTCACTAATGCTCTGATGAGCTACAAAACAAATTAAAAGAAAACCCACGAGCTAAAAGTCCCCTCTAACCAGAATTACAAAATGACTTAGTAACATTATAGGGCGGCCAGGAGCCAGCATCCAAAAAAAGAAAGATATAATCAATCACTTTACGCACAATGTTCCTGCAAAAAATGTTGACCACAGCCACAAGACAAACCACATGTCCAATAAAATGGCTGCAATACAAAAAAAAATTGCATAATATACCATAGAAAAATAACAAAAACATATAGAGATTACAAACAATAAAACAGGCAATGTTATAGTAATTACAGAATTATTTATCCAAACTCCACCTATAATTAAGATAAGCAGTAATGCAAAAAATACGTTTGCAGATATTGAAGACCCTAGTGCATAGATCCAAAAAAAATACCTCGTACTTAAACCAATCACCTATGTATCACTATAGATTCTAGTAAGATTGGTTATTAATTGTAAATATCAAATGCATAATTTCAATTTAGCATGCACATCATTTTGTAATGTTTTCACCTTTAACAAAGATCCTATTATATTCATTTTGTTTTAACTAATTTGATGAAGTCTCTAAATATCATCTCTTGCTCTAATTATTCTATATAATTCCTTTTCTCCTTCATTAATACCAATCATGTTTTATAAATCATCTAAAGTTATTTTTTTTTCTTTGCATACTAAACTCTTTACAAAACCTCAAGCTTTCTTATAATCAATATCAACCTCCATATTATTTAATATAGCCTTTTAAAAAAATAACTCTTTTTCTTGATAATATTTCGTACTTCCTCACTACATCATTCAGTCACCTTAGTAGTATATGATATGTTTTAGAGTCTTCTAAAACATTTAAGACAATATTCTTAGTGGAATTAGTCCTCTTATCCCATCAAGTTTGGCTCAAACAAAACATTCCAATTTGCCCCCCTCAGTGACTTATTCTCTAAGAGATTACAAATTCTCATATTCTAAAGCTGTCACCCTATCCTAAGATAATTATTATTTTTAATTATTCTATTCATACTTCTAAAATATACATCTATAACTAGTACTTTATGTTTTGTGGTCCAACTCTCTCTTGGAATCATCTTAAAATCTTTGGAAAAAAATTTTCCTTCCTCCCTAGAAAAAGATGTTTATTTGTGGTTTGATGGCTCCACTTGTGTGATTGAGGGCACTTCTCATTTTAAAGCATGTCTTCATTTTGTAAGATCATAGACTATTATAAAATCAAATATAGCTTCTTTCATTGCATTGTTATCAGATATATTACACACATCATGATGCCTCTCATAAACCATCTCACTAGAATCTATATGCCCATTTTAAATTACCTTCAACTATCCTTTCTTCCTCAACTGAATGTTGTTAAGTTTATCCAGTTCTTCTCAAAACTTATTTTTTAAACTAGCTTCTAAAAATATCAAGAAGCGTAAGCATGAATCACATTTATAATGTATTTGTTGATAACTATCATAATAATAAATACTCTATCACTAAACTTATTCATAAATTATTTATCTTTTAAATCTTCTATGCTTATTACTATACTAATATAATTTATATTGTTAACCTTTCCGACAAACAATAATTTAAAAACTTCCAAAATGTACTTGAATTTTCCTATTTTCCATTTAATTTCTTATAAAAAATTATATTAATTTTCCTTCTAATCTTAGTGTCTACTAATCATCCTGTTCTTACATTCAAAATCCTCAAATTTCTTGTTATAGAGCTAAACTTTTTTAGACAAAATTAAACTCTTGCTTCTTTTTAACCATAATTAGGTTAAACTGCAGTGCATCACTTGCGAGTGACATCTTAGACAACCCATGGCTACTTTTACCTAAATTGAATTTACTTGTGAAATGTGATTTTAGGTTGATGTCCTAAAAAACTCTTACTTCTCACAACAATCATATTAGCTCATGGACTAATGCTTTGGAGAACGCCCTAACTCTAGCAAAATTTGGATTTCAATTTATTATATTGTTTTTTACTAAAATTTACAATTGGCTATCAACCTAATATCAAACCTCAATCTTTCTTATCTTAGTTTGGGACCAGCAATGATAATTTTCATGTGATATGTGAAATTAAATAAAAAGAATTTATTCCAATATATCCTCTCACTTATCCCCCCATACATCATTTCCTATAGGTTATTCATATAGCTCTTCCTTTTAGGAAATCATTTCCATGATGAGTTCAAAAACGTGTTCTCAAGCTCGGTGCTTAATGGGTAGTTTGGAGAGGCCGATAGAGAACTATTAATGGGAGAGCATATGATCAAAAATAGTTGACGTGAGGAGTTTGTTCAATGCACATGAAACAAAAGCATCAATAAAATATGAAAGTATTTAACTTGTAAGTTCATTCAATTGGAGCAAACTTCCAAGGTTTTTCGACTTGGAACTCCTAGGATCTCCTTCATCATTGATCCAATCTCCACAGCTCATAGTTTCACCCATATTTCAAGATAAAACACTAAAAAGTTCAAAATTTAGTTTTCATTTTGCAGATTTTGATTATAGGGCAGGGATTTAGATAACAGGTATAAGAACTTCAAGTAGGCATGGGTGGCATGAATAAGATTTACTGAAAGACGAGGAAAGACAGCTCATGTTATACATGATCCATATATAAAATTAAAAAATAAATCACTCACAAAAATATATATTAAAAAAAAACAAAGAATTGAAGAACATTTGTAAAATAAAAAGTTCCAACAACATTAACCAGCATATACCAAGTAAACCTAAGAAGATGCTAAGTTAAGCTTAAGTATAAGGCCCCAATCGGTCGTTTGAAGTTAGAAAATATGCTCTGAAAAGTATAAAATTTGATAGATTCATCATTTTGGTTGGATGGAGTTAGAAATTTAAATTGATTTTATGCAATCACAACTTCTCTGAAATCCCAGAAAAAAAAATAATCTTCTTTTCATATATAAAATTAGTAAAAACTAATCCATCATTTGTCTTAACATAATCCTCTATCAATAAGCAAAGTAATGAGCCCTAAATCGGCCTCCAAAATAGAAATGACGTATACTTTTAAATGGAATCAGCGAAAAAACAGAATTTTCAAGCTTAGTATAACGGGGTAACAACAGCTACCAGGACTTTCTGCAAATCTTAAACAAAAAGATGGAATGGAGGAAGATAGCGTAAAAGAGATACACTACCTTATCGAACCCAGAAAGGAAACCCTGGGAAAAGAAGGTAGAAGAAAGATAAGCCAGATCTTGCTTAAATCTGAATCCCAACTTAAGTACGGAGGGAGAGACGAACACCTCCCTAAGAAGCTCCCAGATGGTCGAAAGAGGTATCGATAGCAGGTCCACAAGGAAAACCAGCGATTTTCCAACAGCGTAGACTTCCGAATCGGACGCCGCACGACTGATCCTACAAGCGATTTGGAGAAGCGTGACCTTCGGAAAAGTCCGCTCGCCTCCATTGTCTTCGGAGCTTTCCGCAATCTGCCGCGATCTGACGGGCTTCCATTCGGCGTCGAGCGCGACGACGGAAGAATGGCAGAGCGCTGATTGGAAACGGTAGAACTCAGGCGAATCCGCCGATGTCACCATGAGGATTTCTAATGGCGGCGGGGGTTTTGGTTCAGGTTGGGCCATTGAGTTTTGCGGATTGAAATAAATATTCGTCGCGGCGGACATCCCCGGCGACGTCGTGCTGGTCGCCACCGTGTCTGTAGAGAATCGGAAGAGTCGATCGGAGCCGTGGGGACTTCGTTCGGATAGGATCTGCGATATGCTTAAGAAGTAAACTGCGATTTCTCAGTAGAACTTTGTCCGCCTCGTGGCTCATTCATTAGACAATTTCTTCAAAGGATATAGACAGAAAACTTTTTTCCTTGTAGACTCTTTTTTTTTTTTTTTTCTTAACTTATCTTTCTTTTTTTCTTTTTAGTTTTAAGTTGAAAAAAAAAAAAAAATAAATTAATTTCAAACAAATCTCCTAATTAACAAAAATTAAAAGAAATTATATGCAGTGAAGCCCAATGGGCTGGCCGGTTGCATCTTTTTAAAATTAGAGTATAGCCCATAGAAATTTAAAAATGTGTGTAAATTTATGATTAAACTTATTTAAAATAATAAAAAATAATAATTTTTAATGATATATAAAACTATTGAAAAAATGAGCACCTTAAGAAATAATATAAGGCTTTAATATATAAACTTAGAGAAACAAAATTCTCCTTCAATTAAGGGATAATATATCCTTTTATTTTAACATGTCATCTTATATTTTAATAATATACATAACACCTAAAACTATTGAAAATATATATTTAACACCTAAATTTCTATTTTTACTAATATACCACTAATACCCGTCTTTTAATAAATTTTAACATTCCGTTTAAACCTTCCATCAAAAATTACTATCAGCGATTGTCTTCCCCATCAATGACATTCTTTCATGGTGAATACAAGTATCTCATCGCTATAATAGATTAGTAGAATAGAATGAAAGGAGAATTTTAGGTGGTATAAAATATATAAGTTTAGGTGCTAAATATGCATTTTTAATAGTTTTAGGTATAAGTATGTAAAAATCCCTAAAAAATAATATTCGAGAATCTTACATTGCTGTCACAAATAATTGTGATATAATATTTATGATAATTATGCGGTCAATTTTTGTTTGTTGATTGAGAGCTTAGGCTATCAATTAAGATGTATTGAGTTTGCGACTTTTTTTACGTGTTACATATATGATTTGCATTTAATTCACTCAAAGTTAAAAAAAATTAAATAATTTGTTGAATTGATTTATCATCATTAAAGCCTTATGGTTTTGAGATATTATATGATTTAGACTTTGTTTGGGATAACTTTCATATTGCTTCTTAATGCAACTTTGTATTACAAAAAATTTAATTTTTGTACTAGAAAGCTGCTTAAGAAGCAGTAAGAAAGTCGTTCCAAACGAAGCCTTAGGCTTTGTTTAAGATAGCATTCATACAGCTTTATGAAGCGACTTTTTAGTTCAAAATTTTCCAATTCAAAAACCTTTTGTACTAAGAAACTACTTCATAAAGCAACAAGAAACTTATCACAAACAAAACCTTAGTTGATTGACGTGAGTTCAAATAAATTTGATAAGTGTAATTAATTGATAAATGTTTTAGGCTTTTTAATCGAATGAGCGAAATACAAATAAAAGCCATCTTCATGTTCATAGAAAATTCGAACAGAAAATTTCGGCCCAAAGTGGTTGAAATGGACACAATTCCTTCTCTTTAGAAAGCTCAATGGATTGGGCTAATAATGAGCTTCAATGTAGTGGGCTTCGGGCTGATTTATTAGAGGCCTTTATAATTTATTCTACCAATTATCGTATGCTAGTTTTTTTATCACTTTACCTTTAATTTGATTTCATTCTCAATATCAAATTGTATCCATTGTAAACAAAATATAAATTAATCTTAGATTTTTAAAAAAGAAACAAATCAATTCACTTTTAGTCGTCAATTTAAAAGAAATCATTAACTATATATTTATTATTGTAATAAATCAAAATCAGATGAACCAGGCTTATGCCTGTGAACTAGATCAACCTCAACTTACACAAGAGCTAAAATGTCGTACTCAAGCCTTAGCGTAGTGCCCCAACCTCAATCAACCTATAATCATCACTTGTAACCTTCCACTAGTCGAGGGCATCACGTCCTTCTCGACCATCAGTCACATCCTTCTTGTCGCTCTCTCTCTCTCTCTAATCCAGTTGATAAAGGAGGGGGGGAACCCCTTTTGATGCATTCTAGCCAGAAGAAACTCCCTAGAAACACAGTCAAATGCCTTTTTGATATCCAATTTAGCACAAATCATCTTAAATTGAGAAAAGTTTCTAGAGTGAAAAAGTATCTCGTTGGCAAGAATAACATTATCAGTGGAGACCCGATTTTGAATAAAACCAGATTGGTTTTCTTTAATAATCAGAGGCATAATAGGTTTCATTCTAAGAGCCAGAATTTTTGCAATTATTTTGTAAACCGTATTGCACAGGGAAATATGCCTGAAGTCAGAGATCTCTTCCGCATGATTTGATTTAGGAATCAAAGTGATGGCAGTTGCCTTAGCAGATTTTGGAATGTAGGCATTGTGATAAAAAGACTTCACAGCTTTGCAAAGTAAAGGTCCAGTAATAATCCAAGTGGATTTGAAGAATTCAGAATTAAAGCCATCCGGACCAGGAGAAGAATTGGAAGCACCAGCAAAAATAGCCTTCTTAATTTCTGCATCAGTAAAAGGAGTAGTGAGTGATAAAATATATTCAGGAGGAATGATTTTACCCACCGGGAAGTGAAGAATGTCAAAGGAATGCCTCCTAGGAGGGTTGTAAATCCTTTGAAAGTGGGAAATAGTGTTCTTGATAACATCATCATAAGAGACATCCGAATGAGACATAGCAAGTGAAATGGTAGCACTCCTATAATTTCTCCTAAGATGAATCTTAGAATATAGGAATTTGAGATCATCTTCCCCTCTAGAAAGCCATTTAGATTTTGCCCGTTGAGCAACCCAAGAGTACCAAGTAGAAGAAGCCTCAGCTAACTGCACATTAATAGTTTTAAGAGATTTGAAAATGCTCTCAATATCACATCCCTGATTTAATGATTTAAGACAATCCCTTTGTTCCCTGTAAAGGGAATCAATGTGAGAAGCTAGAGGCTTTGAGGATGCCCAGGATTCCTTCTTAATATTGGTTTTAAGTTGCTTAAGCATAGCACATAAAGCAGCAAAAGGTTGCCCCCTAGGCTTCACAGAAACATTAGCCAGTAGCAAATACCAAAAGTGTTGGGATTTTAACCAAAAATTCTTAAAAAGAAACCGATGCTGAAAATCAACAACAAAACCCGGGAGGAGCACAATAGGACAATGATCAGAACCAGCAGGAGATTTAATAACATAGTGAGACTTAGGATAAGCAGCCAACCAGTCCCCATTAACAAGCATACGGTCTAGCTTGATATGGATAGGATTCACCGATCTTTGATTGTACCAAGTATATGTATACCCCACAGAAGCTAAATCAAACAGATTAGTATCAAAAATAAGGGAGTTAAAATCAAACAGTTGATTTTGGTGAAGCACATTCCCCCCAATTTATCAGATGGATACCGGCAGCAGTTGAAATCACCCATTATAATCCACGGTATCCCCTGGCTGGGACAAATATTTCTAATCTCCTCCCAAAGAATCTTCCTTTCCTCCAAACTATTAGAGGCATAAACCACAACAAGCAAAAAAGGAGCATTATTCCCATAGTAAACCATACCAGCAACCAATTGACTGGAAATAAACAGAGGATTAAAGGTAATCCTACCAGAGTCCCACTTCACCCATATCCGCTCAGGATTTGCACAGTGAAAATTATTGCAGCTTTCTTCAAAATCAAACACCCGATGGGAGTTAAAGAAGAAGGAATCCAATAAAGAGGAAAGTTGAATTCTGTTTTCAAGAATACAGAGCATATCCAACCGAAGAGATTGGACAAGATTTTTGCAAAGTAATACTTTATCAGAGGAACAAAATCCTCTAATGTTCCACGCTCCAATGGATGGACTGGTCATTTGGATTTTGATTTTGGTGTGGGGGGCTTCTTAGCTCCTTTACCCCTGGTGGATTTGGGTAAGGGGTTAGATGTGGTCTTTGAAGAGGATTGCACATTTGTTTCATCAGCAACCGTAGGAACATCTTGAGTGGAGAGATCTACCTCCTCCCTAGTACCTTGTTCTTCACAATTCAGAAGAGAATCAAACTGATTTTTTGTGGGTATTGGGGGGTTATTGAATGAACTGGTAGACACCTGCTCCAAAATACCATTACATTCTTCAGTTGGAGAGTTTAGGTTAGGAATTACTATGCTGGGAGGATTAACCGGGATAGAAAGTGCCGGGATAGTCATAGGAGCAATGATACCAGAAGAGGAGGCAGTCACAATCCCAGTATCTATATCCGGCAAATTTCGAGTCTCAGAAGCTTGGGCAGTAGGAAAGGTAACTTGGGAAGGGACAATTCCAAGTGAGGAAGAGGCAAGTGCAGCAGTGGGAGCTGTACTGGTAGGGATTTGTTTTGGAGCTGTTCCGGAAGAGCGGGTTTGGGATGAAGGCCTCTGGGAGGAATTTTGCCTCCTGTGAGTCCTGGAGGTACTTCGGCCTCGAGGAGGTTGGGTTTCTTGTTGTGGTGGTTTAGGATTGGAAGGGCAAAAAGAGGTAGTATGAGCCATCGATTTGCAAGTAGCACATGGATTAGGTTTCCATTCATACTGGATTTTAAGATGATAAACAACATCTTCAATAGAAATGGGCACTGATTCAGGAAAATCAGAAGTAGTGGCAACTTGAACACACACCCTTGCATATGTCAACCTTGTTTTAGCAGCAGTAAGCGCATCCACAGATAGCGGAGTGCCAATTTTAGAGGCTATTTTCGAAATACCTTCCGAATTCCAGCAAACCAGAGGCAAATCAATAATCCTGACCCAAATCGGAACCGTGGAAAAATTTTCGCGAGTAGGTTGGAAATCTTTTGACCATTTTTGAAAAACAAAAGGTTTTCCATGAAAAAACCAAGCTCCCTTACTCCAAACCATTTCATAGTCCTCGGCATTAGAAAATTTCGAACGACAAGAACAAGGGAAGGAGAACAAGGCGGCTAGGGCACCACCTTATCTTAGAACTTATCTTTCTTTTTTTCTTTTTAGTTTTAAGTTGAAAAAAAAAAAAAATTTAATTAATTTCAAACAAATCTCCTAATTAACAAAAATTAAAAGAAATTATATGCAGTGAAGCCCAATGGGCTGGCCGGTTGCATCT